TATCACTCTTCTTTTTTATATATAAATATATATATAAATATATAGATATATATCACGCATGATTACATGTCTCTTTTACAATTTAATTACGCGTGATTCCAACTAAATTTTCAAATCGATGTCAAATTTCACTTTCGAGCTCCAATTAACAAACCCACTTGGTTCTCTTCCACCTTTTCACGCTGTTTTTTTCTCTCATCTCTCTCTTTATACTCACTTTCTCCCAACTCTCTCATAATCTCATTAATTCTCGTTAATATTAATTTTTCATTATAGCGCACGGCTAATTCAAATTAATAATGCATACACGCCAACCATCGAATGTCTTGCATTTATAAAGGTCCTTTTAATCAACTAATGTATTAACCAAGGTGTAAGATATTCGATAACATTTGACTGTAGAGCCTGGTACGAATTGAAAAGGTAAAGTATCAAGGAAACTGAATCTAATAATTATAAATTATCTGTTTAGCCAGATAGTAGTTGACATGCTAGTATGCTAGTTACTTTTCCTTGTTCTTAATTAAGAATCTTCGTATCGTACAATTTATGTTTATTAAAGACATTATGTTTATTAAAAATTAATTTCAGTAATTCAGTTACACCAGATTATGTATTTTTCATATGTACCTTCTTAGCTTTGTTAATAAATGTTGATTTTATTCGCTTCGCTATGCATACTGCTGCTGGTCTGACTGAAGTACGAGTGATTGCATTTTAAATTAGATCTTGCCTCATGTTATAGTAATCGGATGCGCACATTATCTATACTTTTATACATTCTATTTTGTTAACGGATCGGTGTGTATGTGTGTGGCTAGGTAGAAAGTTTGTGTAGGGAAGTCGCCTCACTGCGCACAACCCTCCAGTCAAAGCAGAGACAGTTCCAGGACTTCATGAACACGCACGATCATAGCCAAAATCCTCATAATGGGGAGAAGGTAAGATAAGAATTTTGCACGGTCCTTTCATTTAGTACAGTCATCATGAGTTTATATCTCTCTGTATATTTCAGATGATCCCAAAAATTCTTGATAAAATATTATTGATGTATTGAGCTCAGATATTTTATTTTTACTATATCGTAGAAAATCAGCAGGGAACCTTTTGATTTTCAGACTGACAATGATGGAGCTAGCGATGGAAGTCTTCCTGAGTCTTGGTCCAGCCTGAACGATGATAAATCTGTACATGCAATGAGAGAACTTGTGAATCATCATGTAAGTCATTTATTGATTATTCATTTAGAGATCATTATATTTACCCTGTTGTGCTGTCATTGAATTCCAGAAGAGGGAACTGGCTGCATTGGAGTCTCAACTGCAGACCAAAGTTAAAATGCTAAATGAGCATCAGACCAAAGTTGATAAGATGGCCGAGGAGATTATAGAAGTTGAGGAGAGGCAGAAGGAAATATTAAATTTGGAAATTGGTGGCGAGGAGCTGAGTGAGAAGAAACTTCTCTTGGCGAAGAGGACGCAGGAACAGTTGCAAGATATCCTCAAACGCAAGCAGAGTCTCTCACTGAACTTGAAGCGTGCTCTGCCAGCATCATCCGATGATCATTCATCAAGCAGTGATGAGATGGTCTCCAGTTGTGACCTGAAATCATTTCAGGATGAGTGTAATAGAAAACTTAAGATTGCATCCGCTCTTAGTTTGCTATGTCAGTATGATGTGCCAAGCTCTGTCGATACAGCAGAGACTTTTCACACGGCTGCGGCAGACTCGCCAGAGCCTAGAATACTATTTCAGAGTGCGAGTACAGAAACCACCCTGGAGGCTAGAATAGAGTCCATTGAACATATCAAGGGTAGTAACCAAGATACTGTGATAAAGAGCACACTAGATGAGAATACAGATTATCTTACTGCGACTGCAGTAACTAAGAAACCTGATAAGGAAATGATGGAGGAGACTGTCTTAAGAGATCCAGAGATAAGTTCTGATCTTGAAGAGAATACGAAGGATGATGTTCCTGAGGATGATTCACCTTCGGGAGTTACCTCACAATCTCACTCATTAGGCCAAGCCGAGTCTTGTGAGTCATTGTCAACGACGGAGGATTCGTCATCGCAACACCAGGCGATGAAAAGACTGAACCAAAGAGTAGCCCGTCAGAGGATGCTGATAATGAGATGCCTAGAGGGTAATACGCCCTGCAAGGAGGACCTGGACCGTCAAATATCAATTCTTCAGGATCTTCAGCGGCAGCAGATCGAACTGGAGGTGTCCCTGCTGGAGCAGGAACGTAAGAGTCAGCAGCAGGAGGATCTCAGTCGGGATGCTCGTCCTTCAACAGCGATCTCGGAGCACAATCACGAGGTTGCGTCTCGGCGAGACGTCTTCTACGGGTTCGAGGCCGGCAGCAACAGTTCAGCGACGCTTCCCAGTACTACCAGGTCCCACATGATGAGGGGATCACGCTGCAGCATCGCTGAACCTGTATCCCAGTCCCACACAATCGTGCCGAGGCTCCCGAGCGGTCGTGGATACTCCTCGGTCTATCTCACCGTAAGTATCCGTCACGCGATCGAAAACTCGTCGAGCCTCGTCGAGCGCAGGGCCGATCATTTCCAAAGAAATTTCGAACGGCCGCAGAGTCAAAATCGGAGCGATCGTCTCACCAGTCCGTACTCCCTGACGATCACGAGATCCCTACCATCACTGATTGGGAACGACGGCGATGGGGAGAACGTGATCAATGTCATCGTCAGCGTGCCTTCATACGTGATCCGGGGTGCAGGGGCCAGTAGCCACTACGAGTACGAGGTACGCGTTGTGGCGCAGGATGACAGCTGGACTCTTCTTCGTCGCTACAAGAGATTCAGGGAGCTATACATATCCATGAGACAAAAATACGGCAGTAAGGTACTCCACCCAGTAGATGCTCCATGATAATAATTACACTTCACAGGCTCCCCTAGGTGACAAGGACAAGAATGACCCCGAAGAATTTTATTTCTCTTTCAGGTGGCTACTATAAGGTTTCCTCCACGACACGTCTTCCCCAGGTACGAGGTCGTTGCTCGACAACGAAGGAAACGCCTCGAAGAGTATCTCCGAAGACTGATACAGGTCTGCTCAGAACTACCACGTTGCGAACCTCTCTACAAGTTCAACGGGAACCTGAGTAACATCGACAAACAGTCGCTTCTCGAGTTCAGCTCGTTCTTCCGGCGAGGTACATTCGAGAGCAGCAAATATGGCACTAGTTAAGAGTCCGTCTTCGCTCGACTTCGAATCCTCTTCAGGATGATGAATTCTCAATCACTAGATCTCATCACTGTCGAAATCGATTGCAAGGCATATCCTTTTTGTTTATTTATCACGTACTTTAGTTCTCTCTCACCCCGTATAACGTGTCTTCTATTATTCAATCATACCTGAAAGGAGGATATCCAAAAGGAACCCACGAGTTACTTTGACCTCGTGATATCCTTGATCTGAATCTGTTCTATTGTTACATTAAATGGAACGGATGTATTCTCAATAGAATCTATAGTTCCACCGATCTTTTATAGAATTAATGATAAATTTAAAAGAAAAGGCAAAGAGAAAATACAACCACGACGATCGCTAAATATAAATTATGACTCGAGTAAAATGACTGCTTCTTAATAATCGAATACAGCATCTTTATAGTTAGTAATGATACCCGTCGAGTCCTGTAAACGTGCTTCTGAGTGAGACTATCAGTATTCAACCGAACTGTGCACCACGGTAGGGAGCTTAATAAATCAACAAAAGCGCGGACCCAAGGTATACAATCTCAGGAACAGTTTGGTTCTGATCTAAGGAAAGTGATTAGAAAATAACCAGTCGGTATGAGCTCTTTTTTCTCTATAAAATTAATGAATCACGAAAAAAAACATACGGAGTAAAGAGGAAGCAACATGATGAGCAGAAGAAGACGAAGTTTAAATTATATCGCAAGAGTAACTCTTTGACCGGAACTTGACTGATTATGAGAATCTATCGTAGAGTGAAGATAGCTTCCGTTAATAATGTTAATAGCATGATTCTAATAGCATAAATATTTCGCAAAAGATAGGAATTAACCGTATCGCTGTTAATGTTCTCTTCGTATGACCGACCATAATGTATATCTGCCTGAGCAGGGCGAGAACCTTTAACTATCACGGGTGAAGTTGACCAAACGTTTATTATTATTATTATTATTATTATTATTATTATTATTATTATTAACCCTTAGATAACGCTTCATTATGAATCTGACAACTACATAAGACTAACGTTCAATGTAATGGTATAAGATGGCGACTGAAGGATTTATAATGATAAATCGAGAAAAAATAACTATTTATTGCAAATGCAGGAAAAAAATATGTTCACGTTTCTCATTGTTACATATGAGCAAGCAATTGGATGGAAAGGCTTTTATCTTTGTTTTTGTAATTACATGAAAATGCTATCAAATTGATCAATATGTTGGAATCAAGTTTATTTCATTGTCAGTAAAACACTTGGGATTGAGAGCTAATGAGAAATTAATAAGTTGCGTAAAGAAAATTAAAAAGGAAAAAGAGAAGAAATATATGTTGTATTGACTGGATTGTAATAATTTCTATGGCTGTGTATACGGATTTAAAAAAAAATGAAACCGGGTGCCTAGAGGTCGAAGTGCATAAATAACCCCGGAGATACTTTTATGTACATTAGCGAATTATTAAAACATATATATCTATATATATATATGTATATTCTGACGAACATTACCTCATGTTTCGTACGACTTCCAAATGAAATTTAAGAAATTAATTGAAAAATTATATTCACTACCGCTTTTTTACTATTTGAGAGGTGAGCTACGTTCTGTAAATATGTAAGGACGGATACAATAAATCATCATATCCGTCTGCAATATGCTGAGTTTGATTTCTTTCAAATAGTTTCTATATTTTACTCGCTGGTATTTATACACATGGGAATCTCATAGACAATACGATGGAGGATTAAATTTTATCAGGAAAAATTTTCCCCTAGCTAAATATTATAAAAAAATAACCGATTTCAACGTTCAATTTTTATATCAACAATCTACTCCCTGTATGTACCAGCAACATCGCATATATTTATAGGAAGTATAATTCTTAAAGTTAACCAGCTACTTTGAACATGGGATAAGTCTTGATGCAATTTCTTAATGTAAAAAAAGTTTGTAGAGGAAAAACGACAAAGATATATGTCGTAATAAATTACAATTGACAATGGCGCAAGCCGAGTTACGAATGTGTCGTAAGATTATTGTTCACCGCTTACGAAACTAAGAATACAGTCAATTTGTATATTTTATGGGGGGTTACAGCTAAATGAATACTTGCTCGCTGGCCAGGCTGTCTGCGAATGGTGCAACTATTACCCTCGTTGCAAAGTAGAAGATCAGACCAAAGGTGATGGAAATAGGTAGAGCTGGTAGAGCCTTCTTGAAGATAGCCAAGAGAAGTAAGGTCAAGCACAAACCCTGATAACGAAAAATATTATTATGGAAATGTTTTTTTTTCTCTTCGATTCGTAACATGTTAATAGTTTGAAATTTGCGTACGATTAGAATAGCAACGAAGCAGGCTAGGGTAGTATTCCAGTCGCCATAACTGGAAGCTTTTCCTACGAGTACGCTATAGAAGATGAAGTCTCCCAATCCCAGTTTAACACCACGTTCCTCTTCCACAGGTGTGGTTTGTGACTGGTTTTGTTGTTGTTGAGACTGTTGCAAGCGAGACTCATCCTGATGAGAATCGTTTATGAGGGTTGACGTATTTTCTCGAACTTCCTGGGCCCTTCTAGCACTACGGTCAGCTGTAATGCAAAAAAGTGAAATTAAATCAAGACTAACTTGAGAAAATTGTTTTGTTTTTAATTCGTGATCTACCGTGAGTTTCCACCCATTCCGTGGTGAAGCCACCTTCTTCTGCATCTCCAGATGCAGAATTACTTTGATTTTGTGTTTGTATTCGGGCGGATGAACGGACACCATCGCCGGCGGCTGCATCGCCACTAGCCATGAGTGTCGCTGCTTCTACATATCCCGCATAATTTAGTGTGAAAGTGTACATGATTGTGGATGAGTAAATCAGAGCTGGGAAGATTGGCTCATTACGTTCCTGAGCCGTCTCTACTAAGATCCTGAGAGGACCTTTCGGGGACAGCACTGCTATGAGATCTATTTATAAAACAAAATACTTAATTATAATTAGAAAAAATGTTTTTAAGTAGAAATACTATAGAGAGTATCATACCCCAAATACTTATAACTGCAAGGACTGCCCATGCTGTCCATTCTGGTAGATATTTGATGAAAACTAATGCCATCAGCGCAGCTATGAAAATTAGATATGCTTGTTGCAACGGTAATGGACCTTGCCAGTGGATGCATACCATTCCTACTACTCCAAAATTCCACAAGACTATTAACAATGTTATGAGATCCATTGGAATGTTGTATGCTTTCAATACTTCTCTGTAATAAAATACATAACATAGTATGATATTTACTACCGAAAGAAGAATACATTCTATAAAAACTCACTCGCAATATAATATAGAAAACAAGAAGAGCAGCATAAGAGAGCTAACAATGAGCCATCCATGTATCACCTTATAAAATCTATACTTATACAACAGTATAAGTACCACAGTCATGCACACGATGACTCCCATTAATATAAGTGAATTGGCAATAGCCTGCCACAAGAGCGTGCCAGTGTCATTGCTCTCGTCATGAAACGGAGTATATACCCTATAATAAAATAATCCATCAAATACCTACAACAAACTTTATACCTCTCAATCTGTTGCATCATAACTTACAAATACTGTCCTTTAGTAGTATAAAAATTAATTGAGCTGATAGTTGCAACAACGACCAGCATACAAAGTGAAACAGGAACAAAGAGTTTGATGACATGTGCAGCACCATACTTCAGTTCCTCCTCGTCCTCATCCTGATACAATTCTCTAGATTCATTGGCACGGGCACCCCTAGATCCAGATCTCCTATCAGAATTCTCAGGCGCCGATGCCCCAGGCGTCTCAATGTGTACTTCAGGTACTCCATGATCAGCCTATGAAAATAATATTCATTCTCATAATCACTGTCTTATTATTACTCATTCCGGATATTCTTCTCGACCGTCTTGATTTTATTTACCTCGTCGCTACTCGGTGCTTTTGATCGACGTTTTCGGCGTTCGGTAACCAAGTTCAGGTTGTCCGTGCGAGCCTCCGCAACGTGACCGTCCATCAGACTTGTGTACTCGTTAGCCGAATCACAGTCACTCTCCGACATTCATCAAACTATTGCCCTTTTTGAGAAATATCGATACCCCCTTTTGACAGCTCCCACTTACACTCAAACTAGTCCCCGTTGAGGACCAGTCACTCCAATTTCAATCTGGGTTGGTCAGACCGATGCTGTACTGTCACGTACTACGAACGCACTTTCACCTTTCCTTTTTCGCTAGATTCGGTAGACGTTGGTTATTCCCAGTTCGGATTATGAACCTCTACTTATTGGACAAAGCGTATTAAATTCTTTGTTCCACGTATCTTTGTTGGTTATATCCTTATCAGGTCAACGAGATATGTCACTGGCAATATGCGAATAGGATTTTTTTCATTTTCAATTCAATTTGGAAATTGCTCTCTCTTCACGCGCTCTAACAAATATAGGTTAACATCGTAACTAGTATCAATGGTGAACAGCGACACCTCTTTCTATAATTATTTAGAAATAATTTTATTTCAAGAGATTTTATTTTATTGGAACACATTTCTTACTGCAGGACAATAGAATCATTTTGAAGTTGTTATTTATTGTAATTATTGTATCTTTCGATGTACTCGAAAATTTACGGACAGTATATACTACGAGTATCATCATTTCTCTGTTTACCCTGCATGGATGAGACACAACCATATCTGCAATGAGTTTTAAAATACAACTCTTTGATGTTGTATATTTTATATATAATGTATTGAATATTGTTGATTCAAAAGCATAGTATAATAAAAGAACATTAAACTTATAATGCTAGAGAATACCTTCACCTACTTTCCAATAATCTTTAACGTCGTTAAAGTTTATAACGTAAGACCGTATTGAAATCAATTAAAAATTAAATTTTAAAGACTTGCTGACCCCGCGATCAAAGGCAGGTTAATGTATACATATGTACACGTCATTAGAATGTCTTATCAGAAACCAGAACCTGAAAACAACAACATCAAGCGTCTTCATGATAAGAAATTACATAAAATCAAGCCACATGTGTACATCACCACAGAACACATCGGTGTGAACAAGTATTTTTAAACTGAAAAATAATTTAAGAAATGGCTCTGAGCATTATATCTAGAAGTTTCAAAGCAAGCTGTTACATCCATAGAAGAAAATGGACGAACGTAAGTTATTATTTATACATAATAAACGAAATCTTTTACTTACCATTCCGTACGAGTTGCTTAAAAAATATACATAACGCATGTGTTTTCAGATAAAGCATTTCAGCATAGCTACGGGGGAACCAGAATTTCTAGGAGTCAACACTATTTTTACAAATGAATTAAAATTTCTTAATAAGGATTCCTATCATCCTATACCAATTTACAGAATTTTTGATGGCTCTGATAAATCTACGTTAACGAACGTAAAGGTATATCACAGTATATCATCTTATTGTTAGAAACATAATTCATTTCATTTTTGTTACCTAGTTGGATAATGAGACACTTCTAAAGATGTATCACAATATGATAACTTTAAGTGTCATGGATAAAATATTGTACGAATCTCAACGTCAGGGTCGCATTTCATTTTACATGACAAATGCAGGAGAAGAAGCATTACAAATTGGCTCAGCAGCTGCTTTATCACTGAAGGACATGATTTATGCGCAGTATAGAGAAGCCGGTAAGACGTCAATATCTTCAAGATAATCAGTTTAGTATGCTATTTAATATTAAATAAATTAATATAAACTTAATAATACATAGACACCACAGATCTATTTTATAATCAGGTGTTCTGCTTTGGAGAGGATACAAATTATCTCAGTTTATGAATCAGTGCTATGGTAATTGTGAAGACGAAGGAAAAGGCAGGCAAATGCCAGTACATTATGGTTCCAAAGCGTTAAATTTTGTCACTCTCTCTTCGCCACTGACAACACAATTGCCACAAGGTAATTACAACATAGGAATAACGTCACATGGAATATTAAAATATATACAACGCTCAGATATTATTATGGAAACGAATAGAATTACATATTTCATTCAGTTCTGTTTTATATCCACTAAAAGCTGTAGGTGCAGCTTACGCACTCAAGAGAGCCAAAAGCGATTCTTGTGTAACAGTTTATTTTGGAGATGGTGCGGCCAGTGAAGGAGATGCTCATGCAGCATTTAACTTTGCTGCCACACTCGATTGTCCCATCATTTTTATGTGGTTAGGAATAATATTCACATAATGCTATGAGTGTATTCAACTTTATAATACACTTAATAAGTGACTCATAGAGATTAATTCTTTCTAGTCGTAATAATGGCTATGCAATTTCAACTCCAACACACGAGCAATATAAAGGAGATGGAATTGCAGCTAAAGGACCAGCTTATGGTATTAATACAGTCAGAGTGGATGGAAACGATGCTCTGGCTGTAAATCATGCAACACGGATAGCTCGTGAATTTTGTATAAATGAACAAAAACCTGTATTAATTGAAGCTATGAGTTACAGGTAATTTCTTTTTTAAGATTCAATTAATTATGAAAATCTACTATTATTTAAATCCTAATGATTTCTTTATCTTTTTGTAGAGTTGGACATCATAGTACCTCAGATGACAGTACTGCTTATAGATCTAATGATGAGATCATGCAATGGACCAAGTACACTCCGATTATGAAATTCCGACATTACTTGGAAAAGTTGGGTCTTTGGAATCAGGAAAAAGAATCAAACTTAGTTAAATCCACCAGAAAGGAAGTTCTTACAGCACTTGAAATTGCAGAGATAAAATTAAAGCCACATTGGAAAGATATGTTCACTGATGTGTACAAAGAAATACCACAGCACATAAAGTATGTTATATTTCAAACATTAATTATAGTTAAGCTAAATGGTCATTGTGTATAAAATTGAATTGCATGCCAATTTTTATTTATAATTCAATAATCAACTGTAATGCACTTTCAGAAAACAAATGGAAGATATGGAAACTCATTTGGAAAAATATCATGATCATTATCCTCTAAGTAAATACAAAAAACTCTAATGAAACAGGTGATACCAGTGTGTACCACTCTGTCAAAGTCTGTTATACTTTAATATATCTTTTATTGGTTAATAAAATCTTATGTCTACTAATTTACAGAAAATTGACATACTATGTAAAATTCTACTGACTTGTAACCTCTCTTTCATTCATACTTTCTGCAATTTCTTTGTACTTTTCCATTCGGTACTCTTTTCTTGCCTCACTGAGTAGCAGATTATGAAGCAAAACATTACTATGTGCATTTCTTTGTTCTATGCTTGGATAAGGGTTTCCTGCAAATCAATATTAGAAGTTTTGAATAGTTAATGTTCTAGCCTAATCTTTACTTCTTAATAATTTTACTAAAAAGTCAAACCTCTCAATTCCAATACAGCCCTCTTGTAGTAAATTCCAGGATATAGCCTTGGAGCTTTGTGCAACTTTGTATATGCTATACTGTAATCTTGATATCTGGGCACATAAACTTTGAATAGCTTATGAACAAATTCTTTTCTGATGATCCAAAAATTAGCCAAGTCCATCATTTCGTGGTCTTCAGGTCCTCTGCGTATGGCTTCTGATATTAGCTGTATAAGAAAATATTTGATTTCATTAGAAGATATGTCTATCAACAATAATTATAATATCACAATCAATAACAATTTCAGGAATCACAATTAAATAACATGTAACTATTAAGTTCTAACAGCGTACATAAAAGAAAATGTAGAGAAATGACATTCGGCGTAAGAAAAACAAACAAAATTAATTTCGACACTTACACGTTCGGCATAACCTCGAACTTCATCGGCTCGATTATAAAACAGTTCAATCCGTTCATATTCGAACAGTGCGGTTAAGGTTTTCTGAATTTTCAGCACTCTTCCTGGCGGTCCATCTTTATTCTTTAATCGTCGCGGTGTTGGACGTATATTAAATTTTAATTTAGAAACTAGGTGAGTTACGTTCGCCTGGTTCATTTTTGCTAGAGTTACTACTGTATCTACTTTGATTTACTCGCACACACTCGACACTTTTGGCAACTTTTTGTATATCCTTACAGTCATAAAGTATAAAATGAATCTAGACTAATTTTCAATAATATTTTCAGAATAGAGTAGGGAGATGCTCAACGGTACAGTTTTAGGCGATACCACAGACCGGCGATACCAAAAACATGGCGTTAAATCGTATTGGCGTGTCCGGAAGTAGAATTTTGTGATATTCGCCTCCGTCGATAGTGCGTATTCCGTCGTAACCGAGCTGAATGTGAACACGAACGTATAGCTTGGCGGGCAGAGGTTCTCCGCCACTCACCGTTGGTTCCCAAAGCAACACTTAGAACAAGGCCGTTTAACGGGTATTGCCTAAATATTTTTTTTCTTTGCAATCTTAAGTTCGAGCGCACAGTGTGAGCTCGATAAGATTTACTATGATGAAAAGCCAGCATCTCATGCCTGCCTGCACTGAGAAGTGCAGCGGTACGGTGCTAGGTTCCAGCATTCCTTCCTTATGGCTGCTTCCTCTAACGAAGAAAGTTCCAGCATTGTTTAAACAATCGTTCCGAACGAAACTATGGTTAGAACCGTCGACATAGAGAATGAACTGGGCATAGAAGCCAGAAAGTTGTCCGCTAGATAGAAAAGGACGGATAGCAGTTATGATCATAGGGGTCTATACTAAGGGCTCATTCAGACCGAAAGCAGTGGGAAGCGGGAAGCGAGCAGCGGAATCTTGGCCGCGAAACTACATTTTCTGCCTTTTTATATTAGGTAACCGTATGAAAGCATTAAGAAATAAGTTATTTACCTTAATTACGTATATAGAGTCAAGTATACTACATTGAAAATAATAATACATAATTTTTCTTAAAACATGACTTCATTACCAAGCAGATTCCAATGCTTGGTCTGCGATTTTGGAAAGTTGATCAACGTTCAATTTTCCGTAGCAGCGACATAGCAAAAAGATGATGGCAACCCTACTTCACGTCATAGTTCATGTTTGAAATAAATTTTGAATTCGGCTACACAATCCTTCCGAATGAAATCCATGACGCTATCCTGCTAGGTTATGATCGCCCCAATTCCAAACTTATGCGATTGCGCCGATAATATAGAGCATATAGATTGTCGCAAAGTACTAAACTGAATTCATGTGGTTATATAATTCCAGAATTTGCTACTTATACTTTCCGAAGTCGATATAAAAAATTGTAACGGTCCGAGCTCAAATTTTTCTGCATTGTATTATTATAAAAGATATGTTTCTTTAAGGATCTTTAGAGACAGAACGCATAAATAATATTGCATATATACATATATCTTTTTATGTGACTTGCATGATTCTACATACAGAAATTGTTTTGAGATGGATATGATTTATGGCGGTTTCGGGATTTTACTGGATGACCACCGTAAACAAAAACCATTTACAAATTTTATGTACAAGGCCCTGAACCTTAATAAATACGATATAACCTAATATCTATACGTACGAATTTCGTATTACCTTATCCTTTAGATTCATAAAATTACAATAACTTATATATCATATATATTTTACTTAAACATCTAAAATATAATAAATACAAATAAATTATAAATATTATTTTAACATAATTATCACGATGAACAATTTTTTATAAATAAATATATGTATAACAAATTATTGAGTCGACCCATTATCTTTGAAAAATACATGGTAGTATTGTCATACGTCAGGTGAGTCCATAAATTTGTGAGTATTTTTTACCAATATTGATAGTATCGTCAATGACCTGATAATAATCATATAAAGATGTCTGTAGTTTGGTATTTCTAGTGGCGCGGTATTATTTCTCATAATGCAGCTTCCATTTACGAAATATTACAAGCGACAATCATTAATTCTCTCTGGAAAAACGAGCAATTGCATAAAACGTGTAAAACCGTCAAATTTTCCAAAGAGAATAAGTCGTGAGAAATATTTGATTCTCAAACCCATATACTATGGCTTTCTTTTTTTAATCAGTTACTATCAGTTACTAACTTTGTTGCTATAGATTTCAATTTGACTACATCGCCGGATTTATCGTATGCTTCATATTTCTCGTTGATGTCCTTTTGGACATGTTCTCTTCAATATTCTGCGAAATATTGTTTATACCGTCTTCGTAATCCGGTTCATCCTTTTCGTAAACAGAATCCTTCCTGTAGAAAAAATAAAATAAAATATAATTGAATAATATGAAAATTGAAAATGTTCACAAATATTTTAATCCATATTACACATGCGACATATTTGTACCTCAATCCGAATACCTACGTGTATTTATTATCGGAAGGGAGAAACAAAGACTTTGGACAATTCTTGAAATATGGCCAACATTCCCCATGTAATTTTCCGCGCTTCTCAGCCTCAACGTATTCCTCAAGAAGATGAGCAAAAGGAGATTTGCTTGCCCTGAAAATTCAAAATTAATTTAAAAAATACTCAAACCTAACTAAAGTATTATCGACAACAATACCATCGAATAATACTCACGTGAAAAATAACTTGAGCATTTCGCCAAGTAATCCAAAATTATCCAAAGGATGTCCTTGAACTTCACATATTGCTCTAAGCAAACAAGCTTTCCCATCCATACCAAGTGTACTGAGCATATCTTCAGCAGTGCCGTAAAGAAGCGCTCTTTCGCCACCGTGAAACGCATTTTTTGGCACTTCCGGTGCGTCCCGCTTCTGTAGTCGGTGCTTTATGAACGCCGCTATAAAATCTGCCATGAGGACTCCGGCCTCTCGACTTTTCATCGATCTGTCGAAGACCGGCGGTAAAGCGCCATACGGATTTTCATTATCAGTCAATCCCAATTTATCAAAGTCAACTGAAAGTATATATAAATTCGATTAGGAAAAATATGTAACTTACAAAAACTGTTGTTCACAATTAAATTATGCAAACGATTCAAACCCAATCTATCAAGACACTCGATTGAATCTCCCGCCATAGAACTTACTTGTGAATGGAAAACTGACGGTCATATTACTGAGAAATCCATATGGAGGATATCTAACAAAAGGTAACGCTAAAGTCGGTGTTATCGTCATTATCGTTCCTGGTGGCAAAGCTATCCGACCATCATTCGTAATCCAAAAAACCCTTTTCTCCCTGTGATGTGATTCTTGATGATTCAAGTCATCCAAATGACCTGGTGTCAATGTAATGGACTTCTTCAGGACAAGAAGTACAACGTACAACAGAAGTACTTTTCGTGACATTTTGCTTCTTTGAATTCTACAACAGAAGAAAGTTACAATTAATATCTGTAAAAGTATCACTAATTTCCTATATTCATTAAAGTCTAATCACTACATCTGCTGTATTAATTAGTCCCATGTTAATTTTCGAGTATTATGAATTTTCAAACGGCCACGCTTCGTGTAACCGACATAGCGTAATGTTCAATTAAAGAACAGCATTGTGCGCACAATCTGTACTACGTGGTTCATGATCCATAGCCCGAAGCAATAGAACAATTAATCATTTTTGAGGACCAGGACTGCCTCACGCGGCAGAATGTACAAAAAGAAACAATGTAAAACACAGCTCGCGAATATATCTACTGACGGCAGGAACTAGCAATTTCTAGTGGAGTATAATCAAAAATGGAGCACGAGGTAACGGACTGGCTCGCGTGACGTATTAACTTTATTATTTTTCTTCAATTATTTTTTTCTTCGACCTCACATACCTAAACAACAGAATCTCAATTCTATTGACACCAATAACAAGGAGTGTTGATTCTATTATAATTACATCCAAATGATCCAGTATTATCCATGACATTACAAGTTATTTCAAACAACAAGAACGGCTGATTTGCGAATTTTTACCAATAGCTAAAATCAAAATGTCGGTCAAGGTACTACGAGGAAGCGTTTAACATAGCATGAGATATTCATATATGTATAAAATCCCACAATGGTAATCCACGGAAAAGCCGAGATTCCAGCAGCGACTAATTGCACGTATCGTGCATATCACGTAACCGCTGTTACCGCAGAATATAATAAGAAAAACAAAGATAAACAGCAGACGTTCTAGATAAGAATGCCGTGTTCGAAATTCAATTTACTTCTATGTGGTATGTATATATAGATAGATTGCACGTACATTACTCGTCTTACTTTTACTGATTGCATGTAAACTGAAAGACAATATATGCCATGCACTTATTGCGTGGTTAATATCTATACGTAAACTAAGCCTAGATAATAGTCGTGCAGATAATATATGCACTTTAAAATTACAAGAAGACATAACCTCATATGCACCTACTGCCACTGACATTTGACCTGTAATGATACTACAGTTCAAAGATGCATGATACAACGTTTTAGTTCCTTTTCTCGCCACGCTTTTTGATTATCGAAAATCCCGCGTCTTCATCCGCCTAGCGGAGGAGTCGAGAACACTCGAATTATCAAAGTCCAAAGAACTCGCGAAGCTGTCTACAGATTTAAGATGAATCAAGACACGGCTGATACGTGTAAAGTATCCAATGATCCTCGTCACTTGCTACTTATGGTCAGGTTGTCCTCAAGCGGGTCTATACTGGTTAACTTGGATGACCAGTTTGCGGACGACAAAATGTCGGTTCGGTGTAACAGTATAACCTGCAAAACTGTGCCTTAGGGGGACCAGGGCAGTGTGTGTTGTGCCCTAGAAAAAAGTGACACTCTTCTCATCTTTGCAATTTATGCTCTGATGCAAATAACTGGATAATTGGAACTGACAGGGTGCCATAATTATGTGTCTTTCGATATTGCTGTGAGTTACCATTCTTGACATGCTGTTGTCAGTCTCGTAAGAATAATTACAAGGACGTAACAAAAGTAAAGGAAAGGAAAAGAACAGGGAGAACGTTTAGAAAGGCTATTGGGGTTATTGGGAGGAGTCATTCATTTCAATAAAGTTTTATTATGAAGTGAGGACGTTCCAATTTTATCATGTGGGTTTTTATGTGTGATGGATATTACGGTATCATTCGATAACCGGGCCACGTTGAATCCTGTTCTGATAAATGATTATATCCTGATTTCGAATTATGCAGTGTACTTAAGTATTTTATTTACTGTTAAGTATGTACTGTTGTAATCAATTTATTGCCATGGCGGCGAGAAATTGACGTTTAACATTCTTACAAAGAAGCTGGATATCGTCGCTAGATGTCATCCCATCATATTTGATGATATAAAGGATGTAATTATTACAAAAGAGAAGCGAGTATAATTAAATCAGGTTAGTTACTTCATTGCGTTATTATATCACGATTAACGGAATCAATGTCAAAGTGCCTACTGCATAGAGGACTTACGCGCGAAATTCAAAGTGAGTCTGATGTCAAATAACAATAAATAAAATATTTCTCTTGTACAGTGTTTGTGAACTATTGAAAATTGTTGCTATGACGATCAGAAGAAAAGGAAAGGGAATCGCGACACGATAACTGTCTTACAGAACTTATTATTATAAAACCGGTTATTACTCATACAGTAAGTATTCAGTTTAGCCGCGTATTTTTAAATTTTGACGTTATCACTGAAGTGAATAACGCGAAAATGAATAACAGAATTCATGAATAAAAACATGTAATTACATTATAAACATATTGAGGTGGATAAATGTATCACAGTTATATTCATTCGGTACCTAGTTGCAAGAATGGATACCCAAATAAAAAAAACTAAAAAAAATGACTCTGCCAAAAGTCGTTCGCATTGAATCTAATAGGTCTCTGCGATTGCCGTTAGGTCTCAAAACACCTCGAGGGCATAAATCCAAAATGTGGTACACTTACCACATGTAAATTTCCTTATTTCGTCATTGCCCATGATAGACATTTGTTTCCAAAAAAAAAAAATAATAAAAATTGCATTAAAAATTATTCTGCATGCAAATTCACCAATCAATTCTTAAAATCTATACAACAATACTTTAATCCATTTAGATAAGATCAATAAAGAATATTCTCATTTTTTCATAACGGATCTTCTTTCCCGAATATGAATATCAGATAGATCCCCTCAAGATAAACAGAATAAATATACGAGATATTCTCACCTGAGCGTATAGGTCACGTATCTAATTACTGAACGTATAAGGGTGTACTAAGGTTATGTTAATACCTATTTAATACCTATGCACCTGTAGTTAAGGGTTCGTCAGCTGAATTTTAGCAAAAGAAAGTAGCTGATACAAGACTCCATTGTTCAACGGTGCGAAGAGAGTTTGACATAGAGAGACAACCGTGTCACGCAACAACAGAATACTAATTCCGTCCTGCATTCAAACAGCTGAAGTTATCACGGGACATCAGTTTCATTTTAAGGGGCCATCATCTTATGAGCTACGATATAAGACAGTCCCCTGAATCCGGAAGCAACCACCAACCACTGTGAGTATAACCACACATAAACGCACCGTAGTGACATTACGACACGTAAACCTTAATCATTACTTTATTTTAATACCGAATGAAATTCATTCAAGGTATTTTTACCTCCATATATAAAAGAGGAACGATTTTTTTCGCCGGACCGTTACGTGCATACCGATACTGAGGCAGAATTGGGAACGAACCAGATCCTGCGACCTCTATAGGTATACAATCTTTATCATTCGTGATTACACATTACTTTGCCATCATGCCCATAACCAATCAAATATTTCTCTCATTTCATAATATTCATCTTTTACAGATACTTCTGATCCTCAAAGTCGATGCCCGTTGCGGTTTTGATTTTACGACTTTTACGTTAGCCTGCGACACTTTTTTCCAAGATACTATTATCCGGAGCAACTATTCTGCGATCATTCTTCAAGCAAGACTCGTGATGTATTACGAGTGTATATATATATATATTATATATAAGCAGTGCATACGGAAAGTATCCGAATAGACACAATGATTTTCTAAATCCACGCGTAAGCTCTCTAGGAAATTTAATGAAAATTGATTTGTAACTGTCTAGTCAGAAATTTTATACGTGGTCAATGATTTTTGATATATTTTTTAAAAAGGTTGATATACGATTCTTCGTACGGTAAAACAGGTCATGAGGGGTAAATAAGGGACGTAAAATTTTATAAAAATATCTGCCATTTTTCATATGGCTGTTTCTTGTGATCTACCCTGTAGACGTATATATACGCAATATCAATCTTAGCCAGAGGGGAATGAACTGCAAAGTGCAACGCTACCTATAAGACATAATGTTACTACCTACGTAGCACAAGTCATCTCTTTATATACCTATGTATTGCGCATAGGCACTGGTGGGTATATATATATATAATTTGTGTCAGCTACTTAGGCATTTATGTGTGGGGTTTTATGAGTAACGCGTAACAGAACAGAATTTTAGGAATTCTCGACCTACTGTGTATTCCTTATAATTGGTTATTTATACAGTAAATAGGGATGATATAATACAATAATTTGTTATACAATAAGCAGCTTGTAAAAATGGAGCGATATTAAAGGAAAAAGGATATTTTTTTTAACAATAAGGAAACGTGGATTTTATATAGGTTTTTTAAACAGAATATATATATGTGTGTAATAGGTATTGTTTTGGATTTGTGACAACTGGATGCAGAAAGTTCAGTAGCTGAAAGCGAACAGAACGACAGGTCAGATAACGGATCGAACGAGCAAAAAAAAACTGAATCTTTACGTGAATTTCATTCCAGAAGAACAATATGCCCTTTTGTTATCAAAGATGTATTTTTCGAAGTTTATTTAAAAAAAATCGATTTCCTCTTTCCAGTATGATAAAAATGGAAATTCGAATGTTCGTTATTTTTGAGGTACACGCTCAAGGCTTGTTTATAAATTTAAAAAACGATTCTGCCCCGTAACTGTTATTTCGTTAAATTAGTAATAATATATTCGTACGGAATAACAATGAATTTGGTCTTTCGCATGTTTCTACACTGTTTCTAGATTCTTTACTGCCTTTCAACGTAAAAGACTGGATCACCTTAAACGGTTCTCATCAAGGTAAGATGCAGTTAGGTATTCACTACGAATGCAACGTGCTTCGAAAACAAACTGTCAAGCCCCTCTATAGAATCACAATATGTCAGAGATATTAATTGAAAATAAGAAATTTAGATAAGTACAAAAAATTATTGTATAAATCAAATAGAGAAGATGCGATAATAACTTCAGCGCGTCTAGTAAATATTAAATAGTACACGTATTCGATTACCAAAAGTCGTTCCAAATTTACGTAAATTCGTGTAACTCCGTGAATTAACCATTTCTTAGGAATGACTGGACTGGTCAGTGGTCTTGTTATTTCGTATCTTTATCGCTGCCATAGAAACGTGTAGGAACCAGTGTATACGTGAAAGCATCCTGTTGTTATTATTATTATTAGAGACGGAATCTACTGAAAGGAAACGTGAATGAGATCTACACGTTGTACATACACTGTGTTTATAATGTATAAGATTGTTCCTAGTGGGACAGTTAATATGGGTTAACGAGGAAAGAATTCGATTACAATGATAAAGTTGGCAAGTTAAACTAGACAACGCGAGTTACTCTTACCAAGAATACGGTCAGTGGTAAATAGAAGTACGTTTGCCAATATTTACGGAATTGCGACTAGATCTTTACAGTCGAGAAATGGCATGCTGGTAACGTCACAATGTTAATTCGGTATCGCGTTCCAGATTCGTGCTGGCCGAATTGTAAAACGGGTCGTAATTATTCCAAGTCCTCCGAACGTGTCCTGTGAACGGAATCTCAAACGCACGTGGATGTCACTGCACGATCGTAGGAAATGATAGACATTTAATATTAATGAATCAAGACAGAGGGCGTGAAATTGTTGAATTAGAAATCACAAAAACAAATTTTATTCTAATGCTAATTTATGCAGTGTCTCTAGTTCGTATACGCGTACGAGTACAGATGATTGGTTAGAAAATAAATAATTTGGTTATGTCGTTAGAGATAGGAGGAAATAGAAAAATTGCGAGAGGGCTATCATTAATGCGAATGTTGTCCGTTCAGCTTCGCCTCGAGGTTCAATTTACCTGGATAAGAATTCGCGTATAGCGGATCGTCCTGTTAAACGACAACTTCTATGTATAATCATTATTTGCAATTATTTAACGAGCAATTTATTCGCGCTCCCGCACGGACGTGTAGTAAACCAGCTATATGTCAACGTACAGATCGTAGGTCAAATGACAGACTGTTTGCGCAGTGTATAAAAGAAATGCCAATAAATATTTCCATAAATATACAATACTGTTACATAATTAATAACAGATAAAAATATCAAAACGAATTTACAAGACGTTAAACCAACAATTAGAACCGAAACGACTGTTAGACGTGTTACTGGACCACGTAGTACCTCTACGACGACGCCAACGGAAGAAAATGAAAAGTAGCTTAACTGACGTAACGACTGTACGACTTTTCATAAACCGCTTTTACCTTGACAGCGTGTAGAATAAAATAACAAAGAATACAATACAACATATTCACTCTCTACTCTTCGCAGTAAGTGTTATATATATCGTATATATACAGATATATGTACATACCAGCAATATCATACACGTGTGAACTTACCTTTACGCGGATTTAGAATCTCGTCTACCGCAGCGGCGAGTCCAAGATGTGGAGTAATTTTGATGCACACTGGTTAACAGGGCTATAGCATAATTGCTACTACCTGGCGGGACGTACTTAATTTTCAAACGTTTTTTTACAAGCATATATAATAAGTAGAGGTAGCTAATAAGATCAACGTACGAGTTAATATACATATACCACAATCCTCTCTCGCTCTTGCCACAAGCTTTAATAATCCGTATTATTTTTTTCGATAGAAATAAAATGATTGAAAAACAAAAAAACAAATTTCCCAGCACGTGGCTCACAACGAACGCTCCGATTCCCGTAACGACCGTTACGTCCGCTTGCCTGTAACGAGCACCTTCTCCATGGAGTTTCTTCGTAGAGCCTCGTACAAGATTGTTATTGATTATCGATCGTTATTTTTCCCGAATTATCGTGTTATACCCGGCGTCTGGGATATATTTACGTGTATCACTGGTTCGTCTTTGACAGCTCGATTAACACTGTAAAGTCCGTTATCTTTTTAATATGTTTTTAACGGATAGTCAATGTTACGGCATTTTCTATCGTTCGATTATCGATCTCGAATCGAGAATGCACATTTATCATGATTTCGTTACAGATCCTTGTGCGGGAAAAACTAAGTATTGGTAACAACGAGAGGAAGGATAAGAACCGATCATAAAGTGGTAACGATTCGCGAACGGCTGTGAGTCTCTGACTGAACTCGTATTTGCCGCACTCCATGTATTTCCTCGTTGCTCCTTACCCCTTCCATACTCCACGTGGCATACATACGTACAGGTATGCACATATGGACAAGCTTAAAATGCTGTGACAAATCAAAGTACGTAATTACGTTTTAAAATAATACAGGTATAGTATTAAAATAATTATAATCGTATATGACGAGGGTGGGTATAGATTTAAAAATGAAACAACTAAATATTCCTAAAATTTATATACAATAAGAAAAAAAAAAGAACTGTGGATAAGTGTAACAGGAACAGATTTTCTATAGTACAAAAAGAAAATTGATATAGTCATTGGTAAAATTCACAACATGCTTTATTTTAGGTCTGCGAATCGAATAATAATTCAATACGTAAATATCATTAAGCTTAAATTTACGTTAAGGACCTGTACCGCCCATTGCGCAGCGACGAGAACAGCGTCGAGGACATTACAAGACCAATCAAGACAAAGGCATCCCCATCGTCCGCCATCTACGTTGTGAACTTGACTTTACGTCCCAGCGAAATAGTACAGTTTTAAGTATTTTTCTTGTCGCTAATTGCGCAACGCGTAGCTACTAGAACATTTGTCTTTGATTCGCCCGAATTCAATGTACATTAAATGCGTACGTCCTATCGAGGACGTCGGGACGCCTTTCTCAGTGAACGAGTCCGTTAACGGAGACGCCGTGACGTCGTGATCAGACGGATCTCGTTACGACGAATCGTGTGCGAATTGTGAGAAATAATAATAATAATAATAATAATAATAATAATGAACTAAAAGAAAAGGAGGAAACGAAGCGTGTGCTTATCGACAAGAGAAATGAGCCGATAACGTAAAATTAAATATAATTATTTTTTAATTGATAATGGTATTAAAGTTATACGACCGTATGTCCTTTTATGGCACCTGTACATACATACGCAATTCAACTTAAGGATAACTTAATTATTAGTTCATATTTCTTTATTGTCTAACGATATATTCTCCAGAGTTCAAACTCACTTCTATCAATTCGTACAGCTAATCAATTATCAGTAGTTGAGCGTGTTCTGCGTGTATATTAGGGATAACACAGTACCCCAAGTATATATGTGTGTGTAAGTCTGCACGTAGCTGTCGGCGTCAATGTTCTTTTAGAATAATAATAATAATCATCATCATAACCATTGCCTAATACACATCACTATACGAGACGTGAGCGCGAAATTCAATTTTTCTCTTTTATTCCTGAATTTTTATTCAGTTACCAAAGAAAAGATTTTTTCCTTTTTTCCTTAATATTTGAGCGCTTTTTCAATGTCACCAGCCATTTCGCATGTTGCGTAATGCGTCACGCGTGGCTTCGACTTGGCCGTCTCGATAATTATTACATAACTAATCACACGTTCTTTCATTCATGATAATCACACTCACTGCTGCAGAGGCTCCAATGAAAATGCGAGTAAAAAAAAAGGTGCGTGCGAATTTGTATGCATACGAAATATTACTGTTATTTTTCACTTTTTTTTTTTGCTCGGCAGCATTGGCAAATACTATACGACGATACATATATATATCGACTATATATCCATGAAATATGCGCAGAATTGAATGAAAGAAAAGTAGAGTTTTCGTTCGAAAACGAAAAGAGTAAAAATAAAAAAAGATGTCATCTCGCGAATTACGAATCGTCGTGATAATTTCTAATTTGTTTTTTTTTTGACGCGCGCGAAGCGTACAGAAAATTACTTATGGTAGTCGCACGTCTGGTTCATCAACATAACGTTCCACATATTTAACCTACGTATACGTGTATCCAGCTGCATGCCTAAACACTGGGTGAAAACACGAGGCACGAATCCGGCATTACGAAGATTACGGATATGACGAAAGGAAAAATATGCCCTTGCCCAATGCCGGTTTTGCGCATGCGCATTAAACACATTTAAAATATTTTTAGCAAGTAATAGCAATAAGTAGTAATAATAGTATCTGCGTGTAAATATTTTAATACGTTATGTTTCGTGCGTATCGTCAAACACTCGGATCCGTACGTGCTTCGTATTCGTTTGTTTTTGTTTTTCATAATAATTTTTTTTTAAAAGAAAATCGCTTGTACACATAATCTTAAAAAAAAGAAACACTGAGTCAAGTTGCATTGATAATATGTATCGTGTAAGGGAAGAGCATTGTATCGTGTAATTACGTTGTTGAATTATTTTTTTTTTTCATAACGGTCTATCCATTTTTTAACATTGATTGTTTTTTTTTTTATAAATTATTGTTATTACTCGGTCACTTAAAAACACTTATTTCGGTAAACTATGGCATAGGTGAAAATTATTCAGTTGGATATATATATATACGCGACCCTCCGTTATATATTCATCCCTCGTTGGATATTAATCAGATATACGACGGATGTTTTTTGAGAAAAAAAAATATTACTGGACCATCGTCTCTGGCATTTTTGTAACAATAATTTTTGTTCGTTCTAAATAACCTAAGGACGTCCTGAAATTTTATCAGGACTATAAATTAATTCTCCTTTCGGGAAACTCTCCCCCCCCCCTCTCTCTCTCTCTCTCTCTCTCTCTCTCTCTCTCTCTCTCT